AAAAAAAAAAGTTATTTAAACGAAGAAACCTAAAGTATAAATAACAAAATTAACGTTCTCTTAAATTCTCAATGTTCCCGGTAACTTACGGTATGTTTCACAGTTACCTTCTCCAATTTAATGTTACCGAGAATTTTCGAACTCTACACTCCAAGTGTTACCGGAAATTCTTCCTGCGCAAGTGTAGCATATACTGTAGCATTTTGTTGTGGCGAAAGGTACCGTATAGAGACATAACCTCAAAATGGTTATAAAATGTATCTGCAATAACACTCGGAATAAAAATCATAGGGTATCTTTTCATTTGTAAGCATAAAGAATTAATGTAATGTAACATAGTGTAAGAACGTTTTATATAAAATTTACTTAGTTACGACTACGAAGAAAAGAAAGAAAGATCCTAAAAAAATACACTAAATTAATACTGTTTCGAAATGAATAAATTTCCAATTGGAAAGGAAAAAAAAAGAAATTTCTTTACAAATTTTACCATACACTCTAGTGTTTTAATTTTGTGTATCAAAAGCCTAATGCGCGCGCAGCTCACTTCCGGTAACACTTAGAGTGAGAAAATCCCTTTCTCTGTCCAACCTCCTCGTGACACCTAACTCTATGCAGATACTATAACAAATGGCTTCTCCATGTCTATAAGCTCTATGGAAGAAACTCTACAAGTCGTTGCTAGAGTCCTAAACGCGGAATGATGAAAAATTCCTGGCAACTTATCGGGAATTCCTCTGAAGCCTTTTTTGAAAGAAATTATCAGAATTTAAATATTTAAGACGGAGTGAACGAGAGATTCTAATTGGTTGCTGAGATGTTGTTAAATTTTGTATTTTCCTGTTTGTTGGTCTTTTCAATTTTGAAATTCGCGGGCTACATTTCTTGTACTCGCTCGGGATCGAAGGTAGATGCCCTCGCAAAACGAACAGCGACGTCTGCGTCACTTCCGTCCAAACGAACGCCAAAATGTACATACACTTTTCGTAAAAGTTTAGAAAGTGTAGGTAAAACGAACAAACCTTATAATTATAGGCGATTGGCACGCTGGAACTAACTATATTGCTCGGCCGGTAACCCAGTACGGTTACGTTACCGTCAGAGAATCAAGTTTTTTCATCGACGGCGTTTGACGAACAACCTGAAGCTAGTCGCGAAGAGACAGTAAAAACACTTGATGTCATCCAGTATGGATGTTTTTCTGTCCATCGGACAATATAAACTAACGGGGATGTACGTCGTTTGAAGCGTATCCTTCGGGAAATAAATTATTCCAACCAACATTTCTTAACGATCTTACAATCTTTTATCATACGGGTCAACAGGTATTTATCACGTTTTTACTTTAATGGTTGTGTGCTTTAGCCTGATTAAAAATGCATTTATTTCTCCTTGATTCCATCACTTTCCTAGGCATCTTATCATTTGCTTTTTATTCGCAGGATGAGTTTATAAAATGCTGAAATAGATCTAACAATATATTCTTGTGCCATTTGTCCCTCTTTTTCAGCTTATATTGAACAGTGTTTCAGAAACTGTCGTTGCAACGTAATAGGAACTTTAATGTTATTTTGTATCTATTTTTTATACTATTTTAAGACGTCTATACAAGGGAAAACTAACATTATTTTACGTGCCTGCTATTGCTGTTATTTGATACTGATTTATATAATTATGAGATATATTTGTATCATTTTTATGTAGATTATTTTGATTATTTGTGTATATGATTTTGAAGATGTAGTATACCGATGTTTATTATGATTTAATAGCTCTGTATTTGTTAGGAAGATTGCTGATAAAGTTAGACATTAAAAATGTAATCATGTATAAGCTTTTTAAACAATAATTTAATTTTGGAATAATTAAAAATGAATAGAATAATTTAAGCAAAATTAATGAACCACGGTAAGCAAAACTGAGGAACGATACAAATCAAGGAAATATATTCTGTTACATCAAAATTCTGTTTCCAAAGTGCCATGCTTCATTGATACTGTGTTAAATGAAACTTAGATATATGTATTTAAACCAAAATAGTGTAATCGTTAAATTCACGCTACACTAAACAAAAAATCAACTTTCTAGGTAAATTAAGTGCGAGAATCTAAATATTTCTTGCTAAAGAAATTTCTTGGCTGAATGAAAATTGATTTTGTAAGAATCATCGGTGTTGCATCCCAAATGAGTATTGGGAATATTAATGAAGATTATATGACATATTAAATAGAATTATATGTTGAACGCAAATAACCTGGTGCTTAGTATAAAAGATATTAATGACGAATAAATATTTGAGGTCGGTGCAAGAAGAAATTTACCGGTAGCTGTTTGAGGTTTGGGAAAAAACATCAAACACATTGACAATTCTGTTACATTCTAGTTTGTTACAAGAATATTATTAATTCCTTCAAAGTCTTTTACTCCTCGTAGTGAATAAATTTTTCTTTCTAACATATTTGTGCACAGAAAATGTAACGATAATAAGTCAAATAGACTTAGTGAAGCCGAGCTTAAAAATAGTGAATACTGTTTATAATTTGTCTTACATTCATTTGATTTTATTCTGTCGATAGTAGTCAGTATGAGTCTATTTGACTCAAGAATTTATTCTCTTCTAAAAAGTTGTTTTCGCTTAGGGTGTACGAGGGTTGCCCAAGTTTATTAAGTCGTGCTAAATGGAACCGTGTTATATCGTAGTTGCATTCTCAGGGTACTTTGTTTTAAGAGAGTTAAGTGTAGGAGTAGTAATATTTATTTTTGCCGATCAGCCCGGAAAAAGAACTTGGTTTGCAATATTTGCTTAATTCATTCACTCGCACTCGCATACATGCACGTTCGCTGTCATTTACATAATTATCAGGAAATCTTACTGCTACTATCGGGCTTGCTAATCTCTAATGCTTGAAGTCTAGGATACAGAAATGATGTAGAAAATAAATTGCCTTTCTAGGCTGCTTATACAATATGACTATTACATAGTCTTCCTTCCTTGTTTTTTCTACTTCTCTTATTCGATAAACTTCTTTCAGGGTTATTAGTACAAAATGCCACGACGAAAGAATAATAGGCATCGTATTATCGGGGAAGACACAAAGATCGCAGTAAATTTAACAATGAAGAAACTTATGGAGTCTCCCGATCAAAAAGAATTAGAATTCCCATCATCGTATTCTGCAGAGGAAAGAGCTTATATTCATATACTAGCAAATGAATTGGGCTTGAAATCTAAGAGTCGAGGGTAAGTACTTAAAATGTATTTATGCTGTAGCGATCGACAACGATGCTGGGCTTCGTTGTACCTGGATAAAATATGTTAGAACCAAAAATTTGTTTCTTGTAATTACAAAATTGGTCCTGTGTTCAAAAACTTATTATATTTTACAGTAAAGGGGCAAATAGATTTGTGACAGTATTCAAGCGTGAACAATCAACCATAGTACAGGCCGATGCAATGATAAAGTTACAAAAACCATCACGTCAGGGGATCTATAATTTGATACAAAAGTTTCCTCTGAGCTGCAAAGAACAACAAGATCTTCTTCCCCCAACCGAAAGGGATCGTGTTGTAAGTTCGGATGGTGAGTCGAGCATTGATCAACTTGATCAGTTATTATATCGTAATATTTTTAATGTATTTAATTACTATAAAAAAATAATTTTTTCAGTGATAACAAATACAAAAGCGATGGGTCGCTTAAACAATAGCATACCTCAGGTTCCACAATTAAGAACCAATCTCGACGTATTGCCCTTCCGTAAGTCTCTGCCAGTATTCGGAATGCGAGAAGAGATAGTCCAAGGCCTGTCGTCGAGTCAGGTGTTGATAATAGCAGGTGAAACTGGCTGTGGTAAAACTACGCAAGTCCCCCAGTACATTTTAGAGAATTGTCAACAAAGGGGCCAACCTTGTAGAATAATTTGCACGCAGCCCAGAAGGTTGTCAGCCGTATCGGTCGCAGAGAGAGTTGCCTTCGAAAGGGATGAAAAGATTGGTCAAACTTTTGGGTATCAGATCCGACTAGAAAGCAGAGTCGCTCCGAAGACGTTATTAACTTACTGCACCAATGGTGTACTCCTTCGCACCTTGATGGGTGGTGATTCTGTCCTGACAACGATCACTCACATAATAGTTGACGAGGTCCATGAACGCGATCGCTTCTGCGATTTCCTTCTGATAGCCCTGAAAGAAGCGCTGGTCAAGTTCCGCTCCCTAAAGATCATCCTCATGAGCGCCACCATGGACACCAACGTCTTCGTCAAGTACTTCAACAACTGCAATGTAATCAACATACCCGGACGCTCCTTCGACGTGGACACGTACTTCTTGGAAGACGTCCTTGGAATAACCGGCTACATGACAGACGAGATGCTCGCCAAGAAGAAGGAACTCACCAACCAGAAGGACCAAAAGAAAGTTTTAGAGTCCTGGACACAGTACAAACCTCAACGCGGCAACGCAAATCCACCCAACGAGAGGAATACCTTGCCAGCTTCCATTCTGGGCCAGCAGAGTGAACACGCGTCCGAAAAAATCGAGCTGGATTCGTGGCAGGCCGAAAAGATGGACAAGCTCATCTCCGAAGCGTGGCTGTGCGGTGGCGAGGACAACTTCGCCCAGCTTTTGCACTTCATTCTTTCGGAGAACATCTCCGTTGACTATAAGCACTCCCAAACCTCGGTAACTCCGTTGATGGTCGCAGCTGGTCGCGGTTGTATCAACACTACCGAACAACTACTGACCTTGGGAGCGAATCTGAACATTCGCGCAGGCAATGAATGGATAGCTTTGGATTGGGCCAAGAATATGAACCAGTTGGAATGTGCCGAACTAATAGAGGCCTACATGAGGACCTACGATTGCATGGAACAGGGAGGCAGCATCATGCCCACCAAGGATAGCACTATGTCGGAAGAGGATAAGTTTCTGCTGGACATTTACCACAACACCTTCAGAGACGAGAACATCGACTACGAACTCATCCTGTCTCTCATCGTGCACATCCACCTGAAAATGCCGCAAGGTTCTATTCTGATATTCCTTCCAGGCTACGACGATATAGTCATTTTGAGGGACAAGATAAACGGGGAGGAGAAGATGAATCAAGGCTTGCGCTACAACCTCTTCGTCCTCCATTCCAACATGCAGACGATCGATCAGAAGAGGGTTTTCAGGCCCTGCCAACAGGGCACGCGGAAAATCATCCTCTCGACCAACATCGCCGAGACCAGTATTACTATTAACGACGTCGTCTATGTGATCGACTCCGGCAAAGTGAAGGAGAAGTCGTTTGACTCTATTTCTGGGGTCTGCATGTTACGCTCCAACTGGATATCTCAGGCCTGCGCAAAGCAGCGAAAAGGACGAGCCGGCAGATGCCAGAAGGGAGCATGTTACAGGTTGTTCTCGTCGGTGAGGTACAACGCCATGCAGCCTTACCAAACACCGGAGATCCTGAGACTGCCGCTGCAGGAATTGTGCCTCTACACGAAGCATTTGGCTCCTGGGAACACTCCTATTGCCGAATTCCTGGACAAGGCTCTGGAGCCACCGTCTAACATGGTAACGAGGCACGCCGTACAGCTTCTGAAGACCATTGACGCTTTGGATCCCTGGGAAGACCTCACGGAACTAGGCAGTCATCTTCTGGACCTGCCGGTTGAACCGAGGCTCGGGAAGATGTTGCTCTATGCCGTTGTCTTGAAGTGCCTCGACCCCATCTTAACGATAGTCTGCAGCTTGGCCTACAGGTAGTTTACCAGGTTTTTTTTTTATACAAAGGGTATCCCATTTTAAATGATTCATTAGACTATCTTGTGCACCAAGGGTTTAATCGTAAAAAGTAACAGCTGCATGATTTTCAGGGGGGAAAGGAAAATGTATTTACAATGGTGATGTTATAGCAACTAATACGTTTTATTTAATAGGATCATTTTTTTTTTTGTTCTGCAATTGTGTATCGTGCATCGTGCAATTATTATGACACTTGTATTTCACATCAGAGCCGTCGAGAATTGTGTGTTGAATGAAATATGAAAGCACGGCACCACTTTGGTTCTGATCTAGGCTAAGTCACACGTTTCTTTTCGAAAATCCAAATTTTGTAAGGGTCAGGATATTCTTTAAATGCTTCCTAGTCATGTGCTAATGTTTCAGTCAGTTCAGTGTAGGACCCCTAGAGAAAGGGTTTTTACAAGAATTTATTTATTTTAGGACAATTTCATCTCACCTTAAAAAGGAAGCATGTATTATCGTTGTACTTTTAAAATGTTGAAACTATCAGCTTTAGATTATTTTCAATTCATTGCTTTAAGGTGATATGAAAGGCGGTGAGAAATTTAATCAATGTCGATAAATTAAAAGTCATATGTACTCTTTTTGGTGGTAACGTCATTTTGAATACTCAAGTGGTAACGTAAACTGGCGCGTCGCGTTACCGACATTTATATTTATGTTGAAGCATTTTACAGTCTACGTTGATAATCATACGAACTGAAGCATTCCATATGTCATTTCGGTCAAGTAATGATGAAAAGATCGATACAAAACTGTCGAAATCCCGTGAATTCATTATTCTAACGACCCTTTAGGACTAACGTCGCCATCTGTGATGTTTATCTGCAACTAAATTTTTCCTCTAAAAACATGTTACCCACGGGACAAGCCAGCATTCTCTTGCAGTCGTTGGTGAAGATATTTTCCACATTTTCTCATCTGAGTCTGTAATATTCCATATCTACGGTATTTTAAATTGTTTGAGCTGGATCCTGAAATTCGTCATTTTCGATTCTAAGCCTTCAAAAAGCGTAAAACATCAAAAACATGGACGGACCACGTTATGTTGGTTCTAATCCATGATAAATAAATCAATTTTTTATGAAAAATGAAATTTCTTGAGTTACAGTACCTACTTTAAGGTCTCCATATTCACGTGGTAAAATTTGAAACGAATCGGTACACCCAATTCGGAGAATACTTTCCCCAACGATTTGATTTCTCAGATATATATAAGCTGACTCTTTCATATCACCTTAAGGGGATGTGAAAGTGGCATGCGAATGCTCAATCGTTTATGACACTTTACTCCGAACTGGGTGTATCGAATCGTTTCAAACTATACGACGTGAATGTGGGGAACCTAAGATAGGTCCTGAAACTCATGAAATTTCATTTTTTATAAAAAATGTTGAAAACATCTATATACAAATTTTTGAAGAATTAAAATTTTGTAGGTGGCAGGACCTTCTTTATAGACTCCATATTCACATTGTCAAGTTTGAAACGATTCGGGAGACCTTGTAAAACGACGATAAATCGTTGCTCGGCACTAAAAGGGTTAACCTCGAATCCTGATTTCAGGGATCCCTTTGTCCTGCCATCTCAGCCATCCGAGAAGAGAGCCGCCATGGCCGCCAGGAAGAAATTCGCTTCTGGTACGTACTCCGACCACATGGCGGTGCTCAGAGCCTTCCAGAGCTGGCAGAGCTCACGAGCGAACGGCCTCGAGAGGAATTTCTGTGAGAAGAACTACATTTCCGCTCCGGTGATGGAGATGATCGTGGGAATGCGCACTCAGCTTCTGGGACAACTACGTGCCTCCGGATTCGTCAAGTCCAGAGGGTCCGGCGACATCAGGGATTTGAACTCCAACTCGGAAAGCTGGGCAGTCGTGAAGGCTGCTTTGACCGCAGGACTCTACCCAAATTTGATTCGAGTCGACCGAGAACACTCTCAGTTGAGGACACAGTAAGAGACACCGATTGTTCTTAGAAGAGGTGTAAGGTGAAGTGAAACACGTCGAGGAACTTGATCGACGTCGATAAAGAAGATTTTTCTAAATGCCTACGTTGCCGACGTTCGTTTTTATATTGACAGCTGGGTCGAATTATATTGGGTATTGTACCAAATGGCATATTCCACCTGTCGTTTTCGTACAATAATTATAATGAAATCGAAGTAAAACTCCAGAAATCCTCTGGATTCGTGCCTTCCGGGGCCCTAATTGACTGCGGAGGGACCCCCTGCGCCATCTGTGATTTCCAGGTCAATTAAATTTGCACTCCGAGACCTCATATTACCATCGTTTTAGCAAAGAAGCGCATACAACACTTTTTTTGCCTTTATCCCGTTCAAATGCGAGTTTATCGATTACCAGAGTATTTTAAATTGTCGTAAAATTGTCCTGACTCTTTCGATTCTCATATCAGAGCCTTCGATAATTGTATATTGATCGAAATATGAGAGCTCGACGCTATTTTGGTTCTGGTCTGGGCTGAGTTAACAAATTTTTATAAAAAATCGAAATTTTGAATGTGTCAGGACAATTCTTAGATGATCAGGAGTGATGTGTTAATGTTTTGGACAGTTTGGTCTAATACCCTTAAAAAAAAATTTTGTATTCGAATCGACTGATTTAAAGGGTGTTTCACTTCACCTTAAGCTGAAACAGAAATGGACACGATGTTGTTATTCTTTTATTTAATCCTAGGAAAGAAGTAAAGGTCCACTTCCATCTCTCGTCAACTCTAAGGGACTTTCCGAAGTCTCCTAGGACTACGTTGGCGCAGTCCCATTCCGCGAATGTGGACAGTTTACCTACCGATTGGCTGATCTACGAGGAGATGAGTCGGTCGGGACATTTCTGCCACGTGAAGACTGTTACATTAGTCAATCCTGTAACCATCGCGCTCTTCAGTGGACCAGCTAGACTACCGATGGACGCGATTTACGAGGCGGAACGTGAGTCTTCGACGTCTTACTTAACCCTTTCGTTACCTTGGACGAGATATCTCGCGACTCAATACTGGCCGATTAACGCTTTTGACGAGATATCTCGCGACCCGATACTGGCCGATCAACGCTTTTGACGAGATATCTCGCGATCCGGTAGTAGCCGATCAACGCTTTTGACGAGATATCTCGCGATCCGGTAGTAGCTGTATTTATTTCTTCCTTTTAGCTATACGAATAGAATTAGTTATAAAATATATTCATCTAGAATGTCAAAATATTGGTGCTAGAAAGCTAGATTATCGTCAAGAGCGTTAATCCGCTACTACCGGATCGCGAGATATCTCGTCAAAAGCGTTGATCGGCCAGTATCGGGTCGCGAGATATCTCGTCCAAGGTAACGAAAGGGTTAAAGCTTTTTCGCAATCGATATAAACATACAAGTGTAAACTATTTTTTCGAAGTACTGAATACGAAAATTGTTCTGCTAATTTTTAGGTAAAGGTCCTTCAACTAGAAGTCGATTAAATCAAAGCTTTATCGCTTTCCACTTGTCCGGAGTTTATTGAATGAAACCTTAAAGGTTGCATTTAGTCATGTTAGTTATTCAGCCGTATAGTTAGCGAAGCGGTCGCCAGTGGCGCTGCGACATTCATTCGAATCATCATATTCGATATTTGGAAACCTACTGTTATAACAGGGTGTCCCTGACTATTCCTCCACTATTATTCAACTGAATAGGAATTATTTATATGGCAATTCTGAAAAATTTGCATAAGTAAATCGGGTGTGCTCTATCGAATGGTGATCATTTTAACTTCCGTTACTAAACGGAAGTGGGATATCGACAACGGAAATAAAGGTTCTTTTAATCCGTATATGGCATTTTTTAATAAAGTTTCACAGTCTATGTCAAAAAATCTGACCGCTTTGTCTCGACGATTTTTTCTAAAAATGCCTTCATCAATCTTGAAATTATATTAAACGGTCCAATGAAATCAGGTTAGCCATATTGATTTTTGACGTCAAAGGGGAGGAAATCACGAAAAATTTTCAATTGGTAGATTACGATACGAAATATTTGCCAGTGCAGACTATAGTACGAAGAGACTAACTAACTTCACGGCATATGTTAGTTTATGACGAATCGTGCATTGTGAAAAGAGATGTCACTCCGAAAATTTGCGCTTTCTGGGCACAAAATTTGAGCACAATGTTAATGCAAAATCAGACCGACTGATACATTTTGCATATCCACTACAGCACCTGCATTTCGGTGAAAACGTGAAAAATGTAGCCAATACTGGTTGGGAACTTCACACGATTTCCTCGTCTCTGACGTCAAAATTCAATATGGCCGGCCTGACTTTACTGAACCCTTAAATATAATTAACGAATGGGACAATTGGATACAAAATTATCTATTTGAATTGGAAGTCGCATTTTTCGAATGATATCTAATTATTTTTAATTACAAATTAAAATTCCACATGAAAACACAATAAAGGAATTACATTAGTGTACATGATTTCTGATTTGGGTAATCATTTATATCGTTTTATAATTATCTAGTTAACTGTCCTATCCACAATTTACACGTTTAAGATAATTTCAAGATTGAGGAAGGTATTTAAAAGAAAATCTTTGAGATAAAACATTCTTATAATTTGACGTGGAGCGTGATACCACAATGGGAAATAGTATGTACCATTGAATTAAATAGAGCAAACTCGATTTGATTATCAGAATTTTTCGGGATTTTTACATAAACCTTTCTTTTTCAATTTGATAGGGGTGAACGTGGTCAGGGACATTCGGTACAATAAAATCGTATATTGTTCATTTTCAGTGTGAATAATTTATATTGTTTTAGTCATCTTGGAGAGTGAATCCGATTCCGAGGTCGACGAGAGTCACGATGGCATGACAATGTTGAAACTTGATGACTGGGGGGTCTTCAAGCTGGACTATGAGGCAGCTCAATTGTTGCTGCATTTAAGACAGAAGTGGAACGCTTTGTTCCTTCGTCGAATGAAAGCACCGAGCAAGCTGATGTCTCAGTTGGACGAGCAGGTCGTAAGGACGGTAGTGGCTGTCATTACTAACGAGGAACAGGCTTGCGGTCTCCAGCAACCTTCTGGCATTGGTCAGAGACCTCGACCACTGATCGTCGATTACTATCCAGCAAATGCTAGGAGAGCTGACGATTTTCAGGAGGTGAGGCAAAGTCCTTCCTAACTCTTAACGCTCCGACTTTTAATTGTGAATATCGACCGGCAACACCAACACACTTGGAGTACAGCGCCACACATCGGTGGTGCCTGAGAGACACACTTGGAATAGAACGTTGCACGTCGATGGTACTTGAGAGACACGCTTGGAGCGTTAAGGGTTAATTTTTCATATTTCTACACGTTAAGGTGAAGTGAAACACGTCGAGGAACTTGATCGACGTCGGTACAGAAAATTTTTCTAAATACCTACGTTGCCGACGTTTGTTTTTATATTGAGAGCTGTGTCAAATTATATCGGGCATTGCACCAAATGGCACACTCCACCTGTCATTTTCGTTTACCTAGTTTTTATATTATTTTTTAAAACTTATGCAATGAATTGTTCAACACTTTTAGCATGATATATGAATTGGTGATGTTATCATTTACTATTTCAGAAAATTGTTATTTATTTTATTAATTTTATTTATTCTCGATCTGAAAAAAAGGACAAAGTAGTGTTATGATCTACTACATGATATATGTTCGAATCATTATAAAGTATTGTTTGTTTATAAAATAATGACATTGTTAATTAACAAGGGATTCTCCTGCCCAAGAAATTCATACCGAAGTATCGAGTCACATGGAAAATAACAATTTCCAAACCTTCTTAAAGATTGCTAATCCTCATTAGTGTTTTGCCTGTATTAATTCGAATCGTGCAGTTATCCTTTTTCTTTTATTTACTATTGAATATAATTTTTGTATTTTTTTCTGTTCCCAGAGAAACTTCTAAGGCTGTGATTCATTAACTTTTAATGCAAGAGTCGTAAACAGTTCTCTTTTACAGGTACGTATCTCTCATAATGAAAAAATAGTATTTCTTCCTTAAAACTTTCAATGAGTTTGAAATCGACGAAGATTAAATTGGTGTTTTATTTTCCAGGCTTAAAGAAAAACTTGTAGACTTCGTTTCACGCTGATTAACGCTGGATTAAACAATTGCGTCGAAGGAAAACAACGGCACAACTTTCTCCATTGTGCAACAATGTCCATTCTCTGTTACGAATAAGTGTTGCCATTCTAAAAATGAAAAGAAATAGCAAGATTACTTATCTTGGTTCAAGTATTTCCTACAGACACATGTGAATTAGCTGCTTACAGTGTACCTACGTAGCGCAGTTGTTAGTTGAACTGTAACGAATCTTTTGTACATGTTGACATTGCATGATACTTTTTATTAATAGTAGATGTGTAAGCAAACGGTTACAGAATGCGAAAATGTCGAATGTCGAACATCGCAACCAGTACTGTGTGTTAATGAAGAGGAGTTTTCTAGTTTTCTAGTATTATCTCCGCTGTGATGATTAAATCGATGGAATATCTCTTAATTCGTTATGTTTGATTTAAGGAGGCTCTTCACTCCTTTAAGGTGATATGAAAGAGTGAGTCTATATATATATCTAAGATTTCAAATCGTTGGGGAAAGTATTCTCCGAATTGGATGTGCCGATTCGTTTCAAATTTTACCACGTGAATATGGTGGCACTAAAGTAGGTCCTGAAACTCATGAAATTTCATTTTTCTTAAAAAATGTATTTACTTATCATGGACTAGAACCAACATGGCGTGGTCCGTGCACGTTTTCCATATTTTACGCTTCTTGGAGGCTTAGAATCGAAAATTAAGAGTTTCAGGACCTACTTCCAACAATTTAGAATACCGTAGAATTTGAATATTACAGAGTCAGATGGGGAAATGTGGAAAATATCTTCACCAACGATCGCAAGAGAATGCTGGCTTGTCCCGCGGCTAACACTTGTTTTGAGAGAAAAAATTTAGTTGCAGATAAACGTCACAGATGGCGACGTTGGTCCTTCAAAATATAAACACTCATGAATTTACGGGATTTCGACAGTTTTACATCAACCTTTTTATCATTACTTGACCGAAATGACATATGGAACGCTTCATTTTGTATAATTCTCAACATAGACTATAAAAGACTTCAAAATAAATATAAATGTCGGTAACGGGACGTGCCAGCTTATGTTACCACTTGAGTATTCAAAACGGTATTCCCCCCAAAAAGGGTATAGAAGAATTTTATTTTATGGTCGTCGATTAAATTTCTCAGCGCATTTCATATCATCCTAATTCCTTTAATTCCTTATGTACTCCATATTATAAATACTGATTTTTCAACGGACACATGTCTTGTGTTATTAAAGAAAGAATGGATGTAAGAAAATTGTAAAAATGTTCGTTAATGGTGTAAGAAAAGCATTTCAATACTTTCAAGAAATCTCCGTCTTCTATGGATCACCATATTAAAAGTAATATTTTATTTGAGAAGACGTGTCAATAGCGATATTAAATTTTGTTTCGTTATTCATAAATTTCCATTATTTGAAAATTCCTTGTTCTATTTGTTTTCGTCGAGTACCTTATGACGATTTAACGCGTATGAACTTTATTTTTAGAGTTTCTCAAGTTGTATTACAGGGTATCAATAGAAATATTAGATACGCAGAAGTAAACTTGACATTGACATGTAATGCCTACATTCGTAAATACTTTTTTCCTTCACAATCCACAATAAGTAATCATGAAATCGACGGTTCCAGAAGTATGTATATTCCGAAATAACAATGTTCAATTTAAGAATTACTATCAAATAAAATCTCTTGGGATACATTACACAAAATAAACGGATTCCGAAAAAATGTAAAAATATTTNTCTGGCTAAATGGATAAATGATATTTTTAGTTGGAAACGACATTATAATATTGGATAAATGATATTTCTGTGATTGAATGAACGAATGATATTTCAAATGGATTCAGGAATTCGAGGAAGTGTTTCGACGGTTAGCTCGGGCTTCCTCAATTTTGGGTATACTGGAAATGACCTGATAACTTTGATATGGTATCGCCCCAAACAAAGCTGGGCTGCGGTCTCGTGTTTCAGGAATAATCAGAAGGAGCTCGTCGCTCTTGTGATAAAAGTCCTGTAAGCTGTGCGAGTGAACTTCCCCTCGGGTTGATCTCACCGCATCCCTTCGTTTCGTCGGTTAGTACTTTTCAATAATTCACATTTGATTCATTTTCAATATAATTCAAGGCACTCAAGATGAAAATTAAAACGGGGTATGAAGAGGTATTGCTGCTAAAATACGTCTTTCATGGCTTACATTAAGGATTTTATATAAAAGTGGTTTAAAAACTAGATATTAGTAGCGTGGCTTTTAACGGTGCTCTAAAATACGTCTTTTAATGCTNCCACGGCTCTTACTCATATCTCACTGTTAGCATCGCTTTTAAACGTCTTTTAGATAAAGACGATCGGACCACTGCTAAAAGACGCAATACATATGACATATTTAGTTTCAATAATTTATAGACATATATAGAAATTATATTTTTTAATTTATGAACACGTAATAAAAATACATTTTTTACTTCACAACTATTATCGGACACTGCATTTGGTATCAAGTAACACGAGAAATTTTTCTAATATTTTCGTTAGGCTGTTTCATTATGGAAGCAAAACGTCTGATTTTGATTTTAAATATTTGTTAAACGTTTATAATGTATTCGGCGGATAATATTTAAAAAACACTTGTATTAAAATGAAACAAAATGTTTTGTATATCAGGTAGAAAAATATTATGAAAACACATGGAGCTAATACTATATAAATATTATGGGGATAGTATTCTAAAGTCAACGTTTTGCAAATATTTCAAATGTCTGCTAAATGTTTACAAAATGTACGATATTCGTTAAATATATAGAAAATATAAGACAAATATTTTGTGCTACTAGGGGTACAATTGTCTTGACACTTTTGTTTCTCATATCAGAGCCTTCGGTAATTGTATATGGATCGAAATATGACAGCTCGACGCCATTTTGGTTCTGGTCTGGGCTGAGTTAAAAAATTTGTTCCAAAAATCCAAATTTCGAACGTGTCAGGACAATTCTTAGATGATCAGGAGTGACGTGTCAAACTTTTGGACAGTTTGGTCTAATACCCTTAAAAAAAAGTGTTGTATTCGAATCGACTGATTTGAAGGGGGTTTCACATCACCTTAACCCTATAACTACCGGCGGATCTTTTTTGGCTGTAATGGATCATCTAAAATCAGTCATTTTGACTGGGCTTGGTGGTTCCAGTGTTAAAGTGTAACATAATTTAGGAAGTTAACTTCTTCTGACTTTTGCGGTGTTGCCAGATTGGCCAAGACATTTAACCCTTTGCACTCGAGAGGTGACTCTCAGTCTCCGCTGGCAACTGGAATGGAAAAGTCCTCGAGTGCAAAGGGTTAACTATCCTGCAGACAGTAAACCTTACGGTTCACCTTGCATAGTACATCACACGGAGTTTTAAGGTGAAGTGAAACCCCCTTCAAATCAGTCGACTCGAATAAGACACTTTTTTTTAAGGGTGTTGGATAGAACCGTCTAAAATTTTGGCACATAACTCGTGAGCACTTAGGAATTATCCTGACACTTTCAAAATTTCGATATCCGAACAAAATTGTTTAACTTAGCCCAGACCAGAACCAAAATGCCGTCGAGCTCTCATATTTCGATCGATATACAATTATTGAAGGCTCTAATACGATAAATGAAAGTGTCAGGACAATTGTACGACAATTTGGAACATTCTGGTAATCGAGAAACTCGCATTTGAACGGGATACAGGCAAAAAAAGGGTCTTATGCGCTGCTATGCTAAAACGATGGTAATATGAGGTCTCGGAGTGCAAATTTAATTGACCTGGAAATCACAGATGGCGCAGGGTGTCTCTCCGCAGTCATTTAGAGCCTCAGAGCCCACGGCTCTTACTCATATCTCACTGTTAGCATCGCTTTTAAACGTCTTTTAGATAAAGACGATCGGACCACTGCTAAAAGACGCCATACTCGTACCTTCTTTTATGACCGCTTTTAGTTAAAAGGCCACTTTTACGAAATGTAATACAACATCGGAAAAACGTAACGACTGCGTTCCGCGCATGCGCTCCGCGTGCCCTGGGCGTGCATTTTTTGTATGCCAAAAGTTCAGAGTTTACTGAACTCTGCCGCAAAAATAGAAGCGAGTTTGGCAGAATAAAGCCGGAACCAAAGCCCAATTTCTTGGTTATAAGAACGACATAACTTCAAAAGTCCCTGGTATTTATTTCATGCCCTGTATTCCCTTCGCGAGCTTTTACTCTGTGAAAAATGTCGTTATTGCATTCCATTTTTCATGTACGATTTTGACAATTAAAAGCTGTAAAAAATTTATGTATGATGTTGACAGACAAAAGCGGTTTAAAATTCCCCCTAAACACCTTTAAGGAATCGTCGCTCACTTTTATCCTGAAAGCGCTCAAAATGAAGATTAAAAGGGGGTATGAAGAGGTATTGCTGCTAAAATACGTCTTTTGTGGCTTACATTAAGGATTTTATATAAAAGTGGTTTAAAAACTAGATATTAGTAGCGTGGCTTTTAACGGTGCTCTAAAATACGTCTTTTAATGCTAAAAATGAGATATGAGTAAGGACCCATTTATCCAGATGATTTCTGGAGTTTTACTTCGATTTCTTTATAATTATTGTACAATAACGACAGGTGGAGTATACCATTTAGTACAATTCCCAATATAATTCGACACAACTATCAATATGAAAACGAACGTAGGCAACGTAGGTATTTAAAAAAAATCTTCTTTACCGACGTCGATCAAGTTCCTCGACGAGTTTCGCATCACCTTAAGGCGATATAAAAGTGTGATATATACGTACCAAAATGTCAACATATTTTTACATTTTTCTCCAACTGCCGTTACATTTGATTAATTTTGAATATAATTCAGAAAACGTTGCAGGGTGTCAGATGCACGTGGATTGGGTTCATATTCTATATTTTTCTTTTCTATGCCTCTTATTAGCTTCTTTCACATTAATTACATCTGAAGCTGCGCTTTTATCAATTTCCCAGCGAACACTGTTATATAACTGTTGGGTAAATATTACATTTTCTAACTAACTAACTAAAATGTTATGTAGCATAAAAGTAACATGAAAGATAGATGTTAGTTATTATTTCTCACTCAGTAAGGTAACATGTTATGTAACATGTTATATCAATGTTACATTAATGTTATAATTTCAGTTACCTTAAAATAATATTAATTTTTCATACATTTAAGAAAAAAGACACGCAATTTTATCCAAAATTATATAATTTTTTATTTTTAATTATTTTTTGGTACTTGGCAATAGTTAGATATTAAATGACAAATCAGACTTTCAATGAAATTATGTAATGATAAACTATCTGATTTTACTTAAAGACTATTATGATTTCATTTGACTAGCAAACAATGACTGATAATGTATATGCGCGTACGAATTAAAATCACATTTCTTCATACAAATAGTAACAAAATATGACACATATTAATCTTATGACATTTGACGATGAATTATGACAATGCTAGCAAACAATGACTGATAATGTATATGCGCGTACGAATTAAAATCACATTTCTTCATACAAATAGTAACAAAATATGACACATATTAATCTTATGACATTTGACGATGAATTATGACAATGCTAGCAAACAATTACTGATAATGTATATGCGTGTACGTATTAAAATCAGATTTTTTCATACAAATTGTAACAAAATATGACACATATTAATCTTATGACATTTGACGATGAATTATGATAATGACGACGACGATGATGTAATAAAATAAATGACAGCCCCAATGTAGTTCTGTTTTGTTAAAAATATGTGCTGCATATACACAGTAATATCAGGACAGTAACATAATGTAAGATAAGAGTAACAAAGTTACGCTATATTTATATAAATATGATAGTAACAAATGTTATGTAACCTGTTAGCTTCATATTCCATAACTGTTAAGTCAATGCATTGGAACAAATGTCATGTAACTAGTTAGCTCTATGTTACGTAACTGTTAGGTCATCACATTGTAACAAACGTTATATTATTTGTTAGTTTTAAGTTACGTAACTGTTAGGTTTGGCGTTGAGTGGGTAGTTCATTAATATTTATGTACACTATGCAAAAGGGAAATTTCCTATGAAATTTTTCGATCCGCTGAAGGATCTTTCGTATCTGCTGGTTGACGAGGGCGTATCTCGTAAAACATTGAGTCCTGTGCTTGCAATTAAAAAGTTTCGAGCACTACAGCCGGCGAACCTATACGCGGAAAGAGCCGTTGCTTTTAACGACATTCCGGCGAATTACGAAGTATCTTTTATTACAGGAAAAGTAGTTTCCCAGGGAAAGCTTCACCCTAAAGAACGAAACAAAGTGTTGAAAAAAGTTCCTGCAGATCCGATACGAAACCTAACCTCTTCCTGTGATTATTTTACGTAATTCGTTGTACCTGGTCTGATTTTAACTTGTACGGAGATGTGTTAAAAAATGTCGTTTGACATTAAACATGCATGTACATTAGTAACAGATTAGATGAAAGTTAATTGCGAATTTGATATTAACACATTTACGACCGCTGACGTGAATTCACGTCATTTTAAATTCTATTCCTGATTGCCGCTGACGTGAATTCACGTCTTTTGAAATTCTATTCCTGATTGCCGCTGACGTGAATCACGTCCATGACAATACACGATATAAGTTTGCGACAACCAGTTTCAGAATTTCATTATTTTCGCCGGTACACAGTATTTGAAACGGAAAAAATTTTCCGGTCGCGAATGTGTTAAGAAAATATCGTCTTTACGTATTCGATATAGCTTTCACGAAAGGAGTTTGAATTTTTTCGCTTAGAAATGTATAATAATTACATAAATTTTGATAAACAGATTAAGGTAATATGAAAGTGTGATACATACGTAACAAGAAGTCAACATTTTTATAAAACTTGTCTCCAAACTGCGTGCACCAAATTATTTAAAACTTTAACACGTGATTATGGAGGCTCTAAGGAAGAAAGCGTTGCCTGTGAAATTTCATTTCTCGAAAAAAGATCTTTTTTTGGTTCTTGTACGAGATGAGGGCATTTTTTTCGAAAAATTTTCACGAAAAAAGAAATTTCATGAGCAGCGCGTTATTCCTTCCCACCATCACGTGTTAAAGTTTCAGATAATTCGGTGCACCCAGTTTGGAGAAAAGTTTTATAAATATTTTGACTTTTTGTAATAAGCTATCCAACTATTTTGTTAAATATGTAGAAAATATTTTGTGCTACTGGGGGCGTTTTCGATTACATGCACCTGTACTATATACACGTTTTTAATTAAATAAGTTGAGGTGAAGTGAAACCCCCTTCAAATCGGTCGATTCGAATACAATACTTTTTTTAAAGGTATCGGACCAAACTGTCTGTAACTTTGACACGTGACTCGTGATCATCTATGAATTGTCATAACACATTCAAAATTTGGATTTCTGGACAAAATTGTTTAACTTAGCCCACACCAGAACCAAAATGGCGTCGAGCTCTCATATTTCGATCCATATACAATTATCGAAGGCTCTGATATGAGAAACGAAAGGGTCAGGACAATTTGACGACAATTTAGAACACTCTGGTAATCGATAAACTCGCATTTGAACGGGGTAAAGGCAAAAGAAGTGTCTTATATGCGCTTCTACGCTAAAACGATGGTAGCACGAGGACTCGAAGTGAAAATTTAATTGACTTGGAAATTACAGATGGCGCAAGGGGTCCCTCTGCAGTCAATTAGGGCCTCAGAAAGCATGAATCCAGAGGATTATTGGAGTTTTACTTCGATTTCTTTATAATTATTGTACGAAAACGGCAGGTGGATTATGGTATTTAGCTCAATACCCAATATAATTCTACCCAGCTGTCAATATAAGAACCAACGTCGGTAACGTAAGTATTTAGAAAAATCTTCTTGACGCGTTTCACTTCACCTTGAGGGTTGTGGCGATATCGGGGTACCCACGCTTTTAACGACCGCGTGGCGTAACAAATTGCCAAGCTTTTTTAGTCCTCACGTCCAGAGGGCGAAGTTCGCCCCCAGAGCGAGCGGTATAGATAAATCCTTCGATCTGGATCCCCTTGGCAGTCCTCGGGTCTCGATCCGGAGAAAAAGAGCCGATCCAACTTTTCCTGATAGATTCGTCGCGGATACTCGAGGGAATCGAAGTGCGAATTTTTTCCCTCGGATTTTCCTCACTCGGAAACGAGACCACCCTTCCCTCTGCCTTGGGAAATAGATCAACCGAGCATTTGCACGCCACCGGTGCTTCGTTTTAAAATTCCAATATTTCTTCCGTATCTTGAAATAAGCGTGGGTGGGCGCGAAGTCTCCCGGAGCCAGAGAAGGATAGAAAAAAGGGGTGGAGAGAGAGAGAAAGAGAACCCCGATTTAATAGCTGAGATTGATATCACCGGTGAGAGATTTTTCGAGCGATAAGAGCAATCCACCAAATCGAATAATTGCCTGGATTCGTTCCTATCGGATGCATTAGTTAGGCCCAAAATTGTCATATGAACGGTTTATTCTTGAATTGTTTATTTGTTTACATGTAATACGGTTTCGTGGATCTTATTTGTTGTATAGAGCCAGATAAGGACAGGAAGAAGGGGTGGAAACAGAGAAAAAGAAAGCCCCGATTAAACAGTTGAGAATGATATCACCGGTGAAAATTTTTAGAGCGATAACAGCAATCTACCAAGTCTAATAACTGTCTGGATTCGTTCCTATCGGATGCATTAGTTAGGCTCAAAATTGTCATATGATCGGTTTATTCTTGAATCGTTTATTTGTTTACATGTAATACCCCACTGAACACCAAACCTAACAATTACGTAACTTAAAACTAACAAATAACATAACGTTTGTTACAATGTAAAAACCAAACATTTACGTAACTTAAAACTAACAAATAACATAACGTTTGTTACAATGTAATAACGTAACAGTTACGTAACATAGAGCTAACTAGTTACATGACATTTGTTGCAATGTTATCATTACATGACATTTGTTGCAAGTTTATCATTACATAATTTCATTGAAAGCCTGATTTGTCATTTAATATCTAACTATTGTCAAGTAGCAAAAAATAATTAAAAGTAAAAAATTATATAATTTTGGATGAAATTGCGTCATCTTTTTTATTAAATGTATGAAAAATTAACATTATTTTAAGGTAATTGAAATTATAACGTTAATATAACATGTTACATAACATGTTACCTTACCGAGTGGGAGTGATCATGAAAATTTTCGGAATTTCTTACGATAATTTCTGGCTCCCCTAATTGCAAATTAAGGGACATATTATTTTCACACAATGATCTTACGGTTCACTAGTTGCACTCAATGGATACGCGCAATCACAAAAGTTCAAAGCGATTGTTTCGTATCACTCCTCGTCTGGGGATGGGAGTCGTTGACACTATCAGCACCGAGAGTAATGGTTTGAATTACAATCGGGCTTTGCGTCGACGAGTGTACATTGAAAGCAGATATTTACGTGCCGGCTAAGTAATTTACAAGCTGGCGATGAATTTCAGTGTTGGATTCGACCTGTCTAAAGGGTATTGTCGGGTTTAACGCCTGCGCAACTGTACAATCATTTGGGCGCTTCCTACTGTCTTCTTATCAAGTGTCTATAAATTCCGAGAAATAGTGCAGTATCACTCAATTCGACGTTTGCGCGAATTGGGTACAGACTTTTATCGAGAAATGGCAACGCCAGATACGAATGGCGACCCGAAATCCCCGTCGATCATCACCAAAGAGGACGTCGAAGTCATTGTTCGTCGCAAGTTGGGTCATCAGGACTTTCGCTTAATAAGTTGGAAAGCTTCGCTGGTAGAAAAGTCCTCCGGGTTTCTGGGAGTGTATTTTAATGTCGTTGCCGTGGTCTCCAACGGAAACCCTGCTGAAGTTAAGGAGCTGAAGTTCTTTGCTAAGGCGCCTCCACCTTCCTCGAGTCCTCAGAGCAACTTCTTGGATAGGTGTAATGGCTTCAATAAGGAGATCAAGGTGTATAAGGAGATGATCCCTCGTCTGGGGCTGGGTAGGGGAGACAAGTGGACCGTGGACTTCTATTTTGGCAAAAAGGACCAGCTCATTGTTTTTGAGGACGTCACGGTGTTGGGGTATGTCATGCCCGACAAGAATAAGCCCCTTGACTTGGAGCACACCACTCTTGTGATGAAAACACTCGCCAGGTAGGGGTAGTTCAGTTTTTCTTCTTTCCCTTTTGTTACGAAACGCAAGCACGTATTAAGGTGAAGTGAAACACGTCGAGGAACTTGATCGACGTCGATAAAGAAGATTTTTCTAAATGCCTACGTTGCAGACGTTGGTTTTTATATTGACAGCTGGGTCGGATTATACTGGATATTGTACCAAATGGCATATTCCACCTGTCGTTTTCGTACAATAAATATCAAGAAGTCGAAGTAAAACTTCAGAAATCCTCTGGATTCATGCTTTCTGGGGCACTAATTGACTGCAGAGGGACCTGAGCCATCTGTAATTTCCAGGCCAATTAAATTTTTACTCCGAGACCTCGTATTTCCATCGTTTCAGCATAGAAGCGTATACAACACTTTTTTTGCCTTTATCCCGTTCAAATGCGAGTTTATCGATTACCAGAGTGTTCTAAATTGTCCTGACCCTTTCATTTCTCATACTAGAACCTTCAATAATTGCAAACTGATCGAAATATTTCTCGATGTGTGTCACTTCACCTTAAGATGAAGTAAAACACGTCGAGGAACTTGATCGACGTCGATAAAGAAGATTTTTCTAAATGCCTACGTTGCAGGCGTTGGTTTTTATATTGACAGCTGGGTCGGATTATATTGGATATTGTACCAAATGGCATACTCCACCTGTCGTTTTCGTACAATAAATATCAAGAAGTCGAAGTCAAACTTCAGAAATCCTCTGGATTCATGATTTCTGGGGCACTAATTGACTGCAGAAGGACCCCCTGCGCCATCTGTGATTTCCAGGTCAATTTAATTTTCACTCCGAGACCTTGTATTTCCATCGTTTTAGCATAGAAGCGCATACAACACTTTTTTTGCCTTTATCCCGTTCAAATGCGAGTTTATCGATTACCAGAGTGTTCTAAATTGTCGTAAAATTGTCCTGACCCTTTNTGCCTAATAGAGGAAGTTACCAATTCTTGATACTGGCGTACACAGCCAAAATATTGTATGCTGCGATGAATAGGTTAAGGTGATATGAAACCTGTCGAGGAGTTTGATGAGAAAATGTGTTTCAAAAGTCCAAATTTTGAAAGTGTCAGGATAATTCCTAGGTACTCACGAGTCACGTATCAAAGTTTTAGACGTTTCTATCAAATATCCTTGAAAAAAGTGTTTTATTTGTATCGACTGATTTGAGGGGGGTTTCACTTCACCTTAAATATTGCAGACTAAGAATGTCTCGGTATTGATGCCTAATAGAGGAAGTGAGTAGCTGTTTCTAATTGTAAGATGTCAAATAAGTTTTGTGAAAGGTGGCATTGTATGCTCATTTGGCCTCACCTTGCCTCATATCTGTTCGCACCAAGTTATGTACCCAGCTTAAGTCGATGAAAAGTTGTCTTATCTTTTCGTCTTCATTTCGATGACTATGTACTATTACCAAAGGATGACCTTTCAGAAAATTCGTTATCTTTTAGACGTCTTTTAGTTACACTGTTTGGGATGTTATCTGTTGTGTTAATATTACATAACTGCAATACTGATCGATTTGTAACACAGGCCTTACTTTGGGTGGTGGTTTCACCCCTTTAAATTGTTTAATGGCAGATAAAAAAATACGTATCTCTTAGTTGTTAGTCTACTATGACATATTATAAAAGAAATCAAATCGGAGAGATCGACCTGTGATACCTTCCTTGTAAGAACTCTCATTATACTCTGTGCGCAGCTTATCACTGTGTTTTGATTAAACCTCTAAAATCAATTTTCAGGTTTCATTCAAGATCTCTACTTCTGGAGGAGAAATTGCAGTCAGAAGGCCGAAGTATTTGGGATCTTTACGGCCCTTACCTCGAAGAGGCGCTATTTTCAAAAGACCCCACATCGCTGGAAATTCGGGAATCATGCCTGATAGGAACTGTCACCTTAATCGATGAAGTAGCAAGGGTAAAAAACTTCACTTCGCAAGAAGTGGATGCCCTAAAGAAACGAGTGAAGAACTGGATTTGTAGGATAACCGAACTTCTCTCGCCATCGGCAAAATATAGGAACGTGATATGCCACCGAGACGTTTGGACGAACAATTTGATGTTCAAATACGGACACAACAATAACCCCGAGGGTTGCTGCATCATTGACTTCCAGTTCTTCCGATATTCCCCACCAGCTATTGACTTTGAATGCATTCTTTACCTGACTACTGACAAGCGGATAAGAGATAATCATTACGACACCCTTGCCCGGACCTACCACAACGCCCTAAGGGACGCTCTCGCCGAAGAAGGTGTAGATGTGGAATCCTGCCTGTCTTGGAAGACGTTCAGGGAAAGCTGCGTGTTCGCCAAACATGTAGCTATTATCTATGCTGCCTTGAATTTGCAAGTGATGCTCCTCGATTCTAAAGCGATCGATCATCTATTCGACAGTAAGAAACCAGAAGTGCTGGAGGAGGCTTTATACAAGGCTGGAAGAGCCAAATTGGTGAAACATCAGTTCGCAAGTATTGCCCCCTATAGAGAACGATTGACCGAGATTATTCTGGATATCCGAGACGTTCTGCCCGAAGAACCTCCAGTATTGCCGATATTGGATCAGAAATGATAGAAGAGATCATCACGACACCCTTGCCCAGACCTACCACAACGCCCTGAAAGACGGTCTTGCCGAAGAAGGTGTAGATGTGGAATCCTGCCTGTCTTGGAAGACGTTCAGGGAAACCTGCGTGTTCGCCAAACATCTAGCTATTATCTATGCTGCCTTGAATTTGCAAGTGATGCTCCTCGATTCTAAAGCGATCGATCATCTATTCGATGGTAAGAAGCCAGAAGTGCTGGAGGAGGCTTTATACAAGGCTGGAAGAGCCAAATTGGTGAAACATCAGTTTGCAAGTATTGCCCCCTATAGCGAACGATTGACCGAAATTATTCTGGATATCCGAGACGTTCTGCCCGAAGAACCTCCAGTACTGCCGATATTGGATCAGAAATGATAGAAGAGATAATCATTATGATACCTTTGCCCGGACCTACCACAACGCCTTGAAAGACGCTCTTGCCAAGGGAGTAGAAGTGGAATCCTGTCTGTCTTGGAAGATGTTCAGGGAAGCCTGCGATTTCGCCAAACATGTAGCTATTATCTATGCTGCCTTGAATTTACAAGTGATGCTCCTCGATACTGAAGCAATCGATCATCTCTTTGACAGTAAAAAGCCAGAAGTGCTGGAGGAGGCTTTATACAAGGCTGGAAGAAGCGAATTGGTGAAACATCAGTTCGCAAATGTTGCCTCCTATAGAGAACGATTGACCGAGATTATTCTGGATATCCGAGACATTTTGTCTGAAGAACCTCCAGTATTGCCGACAATGGATCAGAAATGAAAGCCACATATTAATTTAAAAATTAATTGTGGTGTACCATTTCGGACTAACGATTCAAAATCGTTAAGAGCGATCCAGATTCAGAATATTGTTTATGCTTTCAAGAGAAAAGATGATTGAAGGGTTTCAAGACATTTTTGTCTTGCGTGCCCGCTAATTAATTACCAATGCACTGTAATTCCTCGTATGATGTCAATAACAAGGTACTGTGCATTGATGCCGTGTTTTCTTGACAAGAGGAATTATTTGTTTCTTGTGGGAAACGTCTAGGAAATGGTGTAGATATGCGCAATTGCTCTACTCTAACTTCGGTTTTATGATTAAGAAATTAATAAAGTCATCAGTGTATGTTAAAAAGCGTATACCATCTTTTAATACCAGTACTCGCTACTTAAGGTGAAGTGAAACACCACTCAAATCAATCGATTGGAATGAAACACTTTTTTTTTTTTAAGAGTATTGTATTTGAACTGTCTTAAACTTTGACATGACTCGTGAGCACCTAGGAATTACCCTGACACATTCAAAATTTGGATTTAAGGAAAATATGTTTTAACTTAGTTCAGACCAGAACTAAAATGGCGTCGAGCTCTCCTATTTCGATCGATATTCAATTATCTAAGGCTCTGATATGAGAAACGAAAGGGCGAGGACAATTTTACTACAATTTAGAACACTCTAGTGATCGATAAACTCGCATTTGAACGGGATAAAGGCAAAGAAAGTGTTATATGCGCTTCTATGCTAAAACGTTGGGAATACGAGGTCTCGGAGTGAAAATTTAATTGACCTGGAAATCGCAGATGGCCCAGGGGGTCCCTCTGCAGCCAATTAGGGCCCCAGAAAACTGGAATCCAGATGATTTCTGGAGTTTTACTTCGATTTCTTTATAATTATTGTAGGAAAACGACAGGTGGAGTATGCCATTTAGTGCAATACTCAATATAATTCGACACAGCTGTCAATATAAAGAGGAACGTCGGCAGCGTCGGTATTTAGAAAAACCTTTTTTACCGACGTCGATCAAGTTCCTCGACGTGTTTCACTTCACCTTAAAAAGAAAAGTAAATTTCTGGTAGAACCACGTTTAAGGTACAGAAACCTAGAATTAAGTTAAGGCCGATGAACTTGATATGTTATCATGTCTCTGGATTTGTACTGTAAAACAAAGCACAATTTAAAAATATTAGAGAAATACATCCACGTGGCAGAAGTTGATAATTAAGTTGGTAATAGGTTAACCAACGACCAATTGCGCAGGTCAAGAAACTCGGTAGAGTTTCGAGCCAAATACATATGAGCGAGAAACTCGTAGTGTCGAATGATGAGCGAATATAACACGACCGTGAGTACCCTAGAATTGCAATACATTGCAAGCAGTGTTACGTGATCTCCGACGTTAATTTTGATACGGAAGCCTGGATCTATTCAATTCGGAACATCGCCGCAGCGGTGTTCGATCTTGGAGTGATTGATTGAAATTGTAGTCAAACACTGGCGGTGGACTTGTCCACAAAGCCGAAAGGACTTAATTGATCGGTTACCAGTTTGTCATTATCCAGTGCACAATCCAACTTGGTTCTAGGTTAGGTTCTGTTTCAGGAAATCCTATATCAGTGGGAGTTTGACTAACAAGGAAGGTATCCCATGTCGATCTCTCCGATATGATTTCTTTTATAATATATTATAGTAGACTAAAAACTAAGCGACACGTATTATTTTTTATCTGTCATTAAACACTTTAAGGGGGTGAAACCACCATCCAAAGTAAGGCCTGTGAGGGGTGGCTCATCCCTTAATTTTTTTTTTCTAATTGAGAAAACTATATTTTTCGTTACTCCTTATGAGAAAGATTTTCCAGGTGGATTGGTTAAAAAATATTATGTTCTTGTGGGTGAAACTGTCAAATCGCCCCTTGACATGCCTTACTTTGGGTGGTGGTTTCACCCCCTTAAAGTGTTTAATGGTAGGTAAAAAAAAATACGTGTCGCTTAGTTTTTAGTCTACTGTAACATATTATACCGTAAACATATAAAATGTCAAATGACCGGTTACGGTATGGTTAAGTATACGTGAAGTGCCGGGACGGCTAGTGTTAAGTTTTGGTTTTTTATAGTAATGGAAAAAATACATTTTTGTTTAATTATTACCTTAAAGTTTCTTTGTTTATTATTTCTTTCCTAAAATCAATATTTCTCCACTCAATCAGGAAAAATAAAGTCCTTATCTAAAAACCGGTCATTTGACCGGTTGCGGTACAAGTAGGTATATACTAAAACTCGGTATGTTTAGTATTACGTCTTCCTGGTTATGTTATATTTTCGTACATACTTCTCGAGTTCATCCCACAGATTTTCTATGGGATTAAGGTGAAGTGAAACGACATGGAAGATACTAATTTTTGGGTTAAATCCGGACTTATATTTGTCTAATTAATCTTGTCATGCGTCAAGTACTTGTACAAATCATTAAATATCACCGAAGAGATCGATTCAGGGCATTTGGAATTGGTACAATGTAATCGCTGATATGTTCTGAGAAACAATTATTTATTAATTATTAATTTTAATGCATATGTTAAGAAATATTTCGTTCATAATCGTCTCTGTCGCCATGCTGTCGATTTTGGTTACCATGTGTTAATGAAGTTGCTTCGAGTAAAAGTCTTTGTTCCCCTGTCGGTACACCAAATAGCTTTTACTTCGCTTGAGACTCGATTAATTTTAGCATTTTTTTGCGTACTAAAGAGATTGCGTTTATACGCACAATAAACTTAAGAAAAAAAGTCGGAATAGCAAAATTATCACAAGAGCAACATTCTTTTTTTATAACTATGACGCACCCTCTATAAAAAAATTACCAACACCAAATAGCTTTTACTTCACTTGAGACTCGATTAATTTTAGCATTTTTTTTGCGTAGTAAAGAGATTGCGTTTATACGCACAATAAACTTAAGAAAAAATGTCGGAATAACAAAGTTATTACAAGAGAAACATTATTTTTTTAACTATGACGCACCCTCTTTAAAAAAATGACCAACACCAAATAGCTTTTACTTCGCACGAGACTCGATTAATTTTAGAATTTTTTTGCGTACTAAAGAGACTGCGTTTATACGCACAATAAACTTAAGAAAAAATTTCGGAATAGCAAAAATATCACAAGAGCAACATTATTTTTTTTTAACTACGACGCACCCTTTAAACAAAAAAAATTACCAACATCAAATAGCTTTTATTTCGCTCGAGACTCGATCGATTTTAGCATTTTTTTGCGTACTAAAGAGATTGCGTTTATACGCACAATAAACTTAAGAAAAAATTTCGGAATAGCAAAAATATCACAAGAGCAACATTATTCTTTGTAAACAATGATGTACCCTCTTAAAAAAAAATTCAAAAAGCTACCAATTGACAAACATAAGAAGACTGTTGCAGAACAATGACGAAAGTGGTCACTTGAAAAACTCGATACAAAAATTGCAATAAAAAATTTAAACAATTGTTAAATATTCAATTAAAGGTGAATTAAATTTTCACTCAGAGACCTCGTATTCCTATCGTTTTGGCATGGAACCGCATACAACACTTTTTTTGCCTTTATCCCGTTCAAATGCGAGTTTATCGATTACCAGAGTGTTCCAAATTGTCGTAAAATTGTCCTGACCCTTTCGATTCTCATATCAGAGCCTTCGATATTTGTATATTGATCGAAATATGAGAGCTCGACGCCATTTTGGTTCTGATTTGAGCTGAGTTAAAAAATTTTTTTCAAAAATCCAAATTTTGAATGTGTCAGGACAATTCTTAGATGATCAAAGATGTGTCAAAGTTTCGGACAGTTTAATTCAATACCCTTAAAAAAAAGTATTGTATTCGAATTGACTGATTTGAAGGGGGTTTCACTTCACCTTAATCAAAATAATCGTTTAATATATACAATACGTTTGACGTTCTTGGAAGGGCATTTTGTCTAGACGAAATATGCAGACGTAAATATTTTTTCTACATCGCTTTTATCTGGAGGTGTTTTGCACAGTGTGCTCGAAATCCCACCATGGTCTTGATTATTCTCGTTACTGCCTTATCAAACAATGTCTCTACGTGACTCTAACTACAATGGTTGCCATTCAGTTGCCATTCAGTTCAAGAACACCATGGCGAAAGGATCGAGGAGCGATTCTCGAAGTTCTTAAAAGGAAATCTTTAGAAATCGTTTGCATATGAAGACGTTGATGCTGAATTTAAATCGAGATTCATCATGTCGTTCATCACGTTTATCGTTAAATGATTATCTTCTTACACCAAGGTATGGATTCGAACGAGAGTTTTATGATTCGGAATTCATAGAGTTTTATCGATGAACGAAGTTAAAAATTAAAAGAATTTGTTTGAAGTTACTTAACCAAAATTTTAAAATGAATATATGGGTTACTTATAAACTTTCTATTTTGTCTGACTATAATACTTTTCTAAAATGTTCAACGTCATTTTCAAGACGATGGGCATAATAAGTGATAAACGATTGCGCTGATTCTTCACCGTTTATTAAAAAGAAGTGAAAAATTAAAAGTATTTTCTAGAAATTATTTAACAAGAATTTTGAAATGGTTAGCAAGGGTTAGTTAGAAACTTTCTTTTCTGAAATTTTCAACGCAGTTTTCAAGACGATGGGCATGATAAATGATAAACGATCGCACTGATCCTTCGTCGTTTATTAAAAAGAAGTGAAAAATTAAAAGTATTTTCTAGAAATTATTTAACAAGAATTTCGAAATGTATGCAAGGGTTAGTTAGAAACTTTCTATTTTGTCTGACTATAGTACTTTTCTAAAATTTTCAACGCATTTTTCAAGACAATGGGCATGATAAGTGATGAACGATTGCGCTGATCCTTCACCGTTTATTAAAAAGAAGTGACAAATTAAAAGTATTCGTTAGAAGTTAGTTAATAAAAATTTTGAAATTCATGCAAGGGTTAGTTACAAACTTTCTGTTTTGACTCACAATAATACTTTTCTAAAATTTTGAATGAGTTTCTCCTGACAACGCATTTTTCAAGACGATGGGCATTATAAGTGATAAACAATCGCGCTGATCCTTCACCATTAATTCAAAAGAAGATAAAAATTAAAAGAATTTGTTTGAAATCATTGAACAAAAATTTTTAAATGCGTGCAAAGGTTAGTTACAAACATTCTGTTTTGTCGAACTATAATACTTTTCTATAATTTTGAATGGGTTTCTCCAGAAACCGCATTTTTCAAGATGATGGGCATGATAAGTGATAAATGATCGCGCTGATCCTTCACCATTTATTCAACAGAAGATAAATATTAAAAGAATTTGTTTGAAGTTATTTAACAAAAATTGTGAAATGTATGTAAGGGTTAGTTACAAATTATCTATTTTGTCGAACTATAATACTTTTCTAATATTTTGAATGTGTTTCTCCTGAAAACGCATTTTTCAAGACGATGGGCATTATAAGTGATAAACGATCGCGGTGATCCTTCACCATTAATTCAAAAGAAAATAAAAATTAAAAGAATTTATTTGAAGTTATTTAACAAAAATTTTTAAATGTATGCAAGGGTTAGTTACAAAATTTCTGTTTTGTCCAATTATAATACTTTTCTACAATTTTCAACAACTTTCTCCTGAAAACGCATTTTTCAAGACGATGGGCATTATAAGTGATAAACGATCGCGCTGATCCTTTACCATCCATTCGATTTACTTTATCTTTCACATATACTAAATCAGATTCGTTATCACTTCACGAGGGCATTTTCAGATAAATTTAACTGTTCTTGAGTATAAATAAAAAAAAGTATGATATGATATGAAAATTGCGACTATTTGTTTTGCACCCAAGACACTTCTTTTGCCTTTACCTCGTTCAAATTCGAGTTTCTCAATTACCAGAGTGTTGTAAATTGTCATACAATTGTCCTGACACTTTCGTTTCTCATATTAGAGCTTTCAATAATTGTGTACTCATCGAAATATGAGATTTCGACCCCATTTTGGTTCTGGTCTGTGCTACGATGAAACATTTTTTTATCAAAAATCAAAATTTTGAATGTGTCAGGATTAATTCTCGGATGCTCACAAGTTGTGTGTCAAGTTTAAGTCCGTCCAATGGTCTTTAAAAAAAAGTGTCTTATTCGAGTCGACTGTGTGAGAGTAGTTTCACTTCCCCTTAAGACCCATAAGTAAAAGCATTCAGCAATGAGAAATGATTATTCGGTTTCATTAATACTGAAGTATAAAAAGTTGTAGGAAACAAACAACCTGTACATTTAGTATAGAGTTTCTTTACGATTTATAAAATTTCCTGTTTTCACTTTATGTTTCTTTTCTAGGTACTGTGAAGTAATAATACATCTTTGTGTATGGCGCCGAATTGCATCAAGTGCATTTATCTCATACACGCAGATCTCGATGTTGGAAGTTCAGAGAGGTCACCTAGTGTCCCTTATTCATTATGGCATATCATCGTGTAATTATTCAGGTCAAGAATCATCAGCAAGTCGCTATCAGTACGGATGCCTTGAATTAGGATCTATCATTGCGCCTCCAGTTCAAGTTGAGGTAAGATTCATCCATAAGACAGAAGCATTTCTATTCGTCAACCTAATAACGTAATCCACTGATAGATTGAACAGTTCCAGTGAGTGCTTAGTGTTCAAGCTTTCAAGAACATCGAGCTGACTTTGCCGTCAATAAATCAGAGAAGTACTCCGAAAATATAGATCCTTACTGGACAGAAATTCTGGGTGGAGCCACATCTAATCTCTAAATCACATCGCATATCTAATACAGATCACATGCATACATCTAATTGCAAAATGATAACATTAAGCGAGGACGTTAACTGCAACTGGATGGCACGACACAACACACCAACGATTTTAACCGAAGAAGATAGAGTTGTTGTGTCACGGAAGTTGGGTAATCAGCATTTTCGGCTGCTAAGTTGGAACATTTCATCGTTCAACAAGGCATATGGGTTCCTGGGTGCTTATTTCAATGTAACTGCTATGGTTTCGGTGGAAGACAGTGCAAATGTCGAGGGACTCAAGTTCTTCGCTAAGACCCCTCCGCCTCCTGAAAGTAGTTTGGGCATCTTTTTGGAGCGTTGTGATGGATTCAATAAGGAGATCAATGTGTATGACGAATTAATCCCCCCTGCATTTATCTTATACACGGAATATCTCGGAAGTTCAGAGAGGTCACTTCGTGGTCCTTATTCATCATCGCGTATCGTCGTGTAATTATTCAGGTCAAGAATCATCAGCGAGTCGCTATCAGTAGGGATGCCTTGAATTATCTTGCATTTCTATTCGTCAACCTAATAACGTAATTCATTGATAGATTGAACAGTTACAGTGAGAGCTTAGTGTTCAAGCTTTCAAGAACATCGAGCCGACTTTGCCGTCACTGAATCAGAGAAGTACCCCGAAAATACCGATCCTTACTGGACGCAGATTCTGGGTGAAGCCACAATACATCTAATTGCAAAATGACAACATTAAACGAGGACGTTAACTGCAACCGGGTGGCACGACATAACACACCAACGATTTTAACCGAAGAAGATAGAGTTGTTGTGTCACGGAAACGAGGACGTTAACTACAATCGGGTGGCACGACACAACACACCAACGATTTTAACCGAAGAAGATATTAGGATTGTTGTGTCACGAAAGTTAGGTAATCAGCGTTTTCGGCTGCTAAGTTGGAACGTTTCATCGTTCAACAAGGGATATGGGTTCCTGGGCGCTTATTTCAATGTAACTGCTATGGTTTCGGTGGAAGACAATGCAAATGAGGTTCTTCGCTAAGACCCCTCCGCCTCCTGAAAGTACCTTGGGCACCTTCTTGGAGCGTTGTGATGGCTTCAATAAGGAGATCAATGTGTACGATGAATTAATCCCCCCTGCATTTATCTTATACACGCAGATCTCGATCTCGGAAGTTCAGAGAGGTCACCTCGTATTCCTTATTCATTATCGCATATCGTCGTGTAATTATTCAGGTCAAAAATGATCAGCGAGTCGCTATCAGTGCTGTTGCCTTGAATTATGATCTATTATTGCGCTTCCAGTTCAAGTTGAGGTCCGATTCTTCCATAAGACAGAAGCATTTCTATTCGTCAACTTAATAACGAAATCCATTGATGGATTCAACAGTTCCAGTGAGTGGTTAGTGTTCAAGCTTTCAAGAACAACGAGCCGACTTTGCCGTCACTGAATCAGCGAGGTACCCCGAAAATACCGATCCTTACTGGACGGAGATTCTGGGTGGAGCTATAATACATCTAATTGCAAAATGACAACATTAAACGAGGACGTTAACTACAACCGGGTGGCACGACACAACACACCAACGATTTTAACCGAAGAAGATATTAGGATTGTTGTGTCACGAAAGTTAGGTAATCAGCGTTTTCGGCTGCTAAGTTGGAACGTTTCATCGTTCAACAAGGGATATGGGTTCCTGGGTGCTTATTTCAATGTAACTGCTATGGTTTCGGTGGAAGACAATGCAAATGTCGAGGAACTCAGGTTCTTCGCTAAGACCCCTCCGCCTCCTGAAAGTACCTTGGGCACCTTCTTGGAGCGTTGTGATGGCTTCAATAAGGAGATCAATGTGTACGACGAATTAATCCCTCACATGGGAGTGGGCTCGGGGGGGAAGTGGTATGTGGATTGTTATTTTTGCAAGAAAGACCGAATTATTGTTATGGAAGATATCACGGTCCTGGGATATGTCATGCCGGATAAATACAAGCCCTTGGATTTCCAACACACCGCACTTATGCTCAAAGCAATCGCCAGGTAATTGCCATTTCTATTTATTTCATTTCGATACGTTGGTTTCTCTGCGGAGTTCATAACATTGCATAAATTAAGCGTTGAAATTATGAACAGTTCCTTTGGGAACTTCAGTTTCTTTTCACGTAGAAAATTGTACTCGCGACGAAATGTGTTCTGTATGCAGGTATACATGTAACGCGTTTTCTTTTAATTGATCGTGTCCACCTTGTGATATATTAGTGATCATTATTACTAATAATATACGTAATATATAGCTATTCATTTTATTTTCATATTGGGCGAATCTGAAATTGGTGGATAAATTTTAGATACTTTTATGATGATCTTGAAAATGTAAAAAGTTCCTCAGATAGTTAAGGAAGTAAGCTGAATTGAACGTTGTGCTATTTTTCCATATTATAAGAAGCATTTGATAAGATTAATAATTGCTGACGTATCCGGCGTTCTTGACCCTTCATCCCTAGTAGCATAGAATAATTTCTAAATATTTCTTTGTAATCTTTGCTAAATATCTCAAGCGACAGATTTTTTTAAGATTTCTGGTCGATTTCATTTCGAAGATATTTAAAATATTTCTTGAAAATCTCAATGACATATTTAGTTTCAATAATTTATAAACATATCGAGAAATATTTTTTAACCTATTAACATAATAAAAATACATTTTTTACTTCACGACTATTATTGGACACTTCATTTGGTATGAAAAAACACGAGAAATTTTTCTAATATTTTCGTTCCGCTATTTCATTATAGGAGCAAAACGTGTGATTTTGATTTTAAATATTTTTAAAACGTTTATAATGTATTCGACAGATAATATTTAAAAACTATTTGTATTAAAATGAAACGAAATGTTTTGTATATCTGGTAGAAAAATATTATGATAACACAAGGAGGTAATATTATATAAATATTATAGAGATAATATTCTAAAGTAAACGTTCGGCAAATATTTTAAATGTCTGGTAAATATTTACAAAATATATAATATTCTTTAAATATATAGAAAATATAGGACAAATATTTTGTGCTACTAGGGATAATGCAGCAACTGTAATTACTTCCTTCATTTCATTACAAGTAAATCAGGATTATATTCGCGACTTGATGGACTGGTTGACACTTTTTATTTATGAATTTTTATTCCTAGGGGCATTTAATTTATAGATCTCCAATTTATGACGCTTTTACTTTTACCATGTAATGATTAGATTATTATGTTGTTGCTCGTTGCGGAAAAATGGAAAATAATTGAAAATCGTTGAACGTCTTTGATAGTGAATAAAACATCAATATGAACCAATTACATAAATGAAGACGAAGACTTATTCCGATAATATTTTGCATGAAGTATTCTTACAAGGTTTTATATACACTGTTAAAAAAATGCATAAAATTCATACGCTTTTAATACATGAAGTTGCAATGAAACTATGAATTTGATGTCTTAATAGTAAATTAGTATATATTTATTATAAGATTCTAAGTACATTTATAGTTTTATAACATCATGTTGTAATTTTGTGAAATTGCGAAGAAAAATTATAAATTTGATATTCGACATTCATTTGGTACACATTGTTTGGAAATTTTTAAAATGAGCTTTTCATTTTATGATCGTTTACGTAAGTTTATTTTTAAACAAATTTCATCGAGAGATGACAAGTATCGGTGGTACTGGTGGGGAAGCATTGTAGCTACATTCTTGAGTTCGAAAAGTATTTAAATAATATTTAAACAAAATTCACTGCCGCAATTCGTCTCTGGTTGGTGACACTGCATGTGTGATTCGGGCATTAGGTGTTTCCGATGCGAACTATGCAGTTGCATGGAAATGATTTATTGCCAGGTATGATGATTCGAGATTTCAGTTGCATCGTTATACAAAAGTTTACGATTCGAGATGCATCATCATGCGAAAGCCCTATTCCAGTGAGGAAGTGTTATGTGTCGTATCGACAATTAATTGACGATGCCCATAATTATCTGTTAGCTCCGAAATCATTGGGCGAGCCTATTGAGTCTTGGGATACGATTGTTATTTACTGCATAAGTACAAAACTCGACGCGAGTACTAAGTTGCCTTGAAATGAGTTGCCATGAGTTGCCAGTAATGAGTTGCCTTGAAAATCATTTCAATTTTTTGGTCAAACTGGAAACGGACAGGCCACTTGTCTCGGTAAAGATTGAACCTACGTCACACTTAGACTTAAGTCGTCGAAGACAATTACCGCACGTTACGCCACCCTTAACGGCGTTCACCACCAAAGTGGGGACGATGACCTCCACCGCTAGATGGCATTAGCATCGAATTCGGTGGGAGGTAACCAAAACGTACTTTCTCGCTCGGATGAGGGAGACGCGACGCACAATGGGCGGTGTTTAGCAACGGGCGAAAAATGTGTGCGTATTTTGCACGTATAGGACTCACACAACGGCTAGACGCCTCTGGACTAGGCGCCGAAACGTGTGTGACCCTCGGCCGCACGCACACGCAAGTTGGACGCTCCGCCTAGAGTCGGCAACGGTTGCTAAGGAATGCCCAAATTCCTCGCGAGAAACTTGAAAATCCTGAAAAAGGTGCTCCACGGGGACAACGATTTTGAGCGTATTTCTCAACCGATTGAGCTCAACGAGTGCTCGTTTTAAAGATAAAATGTTGACGTGTGTTTATATGGGAGCGATTTTCGATCGAGCACCTCCTTCCTAGGTAAAAGGGCATTGAAATTATGTCGTTGCACTTTTTTATATGAAAATGACCACTTATCGAAAATCGCTCCCATATAAACACAGGTCAACATTTCATCTTCGATATGAGCACTCGTTAAGCTCGATCGGTTTAGAAATACGTTCGGAATCGTTGTCCCCGTGAGGCCCTGCAAAATCGCTGGAGTGGTGAGCGCCCTTAACAACTACTAAGAATTCGTGTTCAATGTGTAAAAGATCACATCCTTAGTACAATTGTCCAGAACTTAGAAAATTGCTCGTCTAGAAAATCGCCTTGAAATTCATGAGATTCAAGAACGTCAGTATTCTTTCAATTACCTCAGAGTCGGGCATCGGAATAAAAACTGCTCTTTAGGCCATTGTATAAAAATGCATAAAGAAGCATCATATGCTTCTATATCTAGAAACAGATGTGTTCGAAGATAGGAAATCAGAACCGAATCTAGGATCACCGTCACAAACTGTTAGAATAATTGCGCATGCTAGTCGTGATAACGCATAACATATTGTAACGTGGCGGATCGTGGAGCCTCCTCCACGTTCCAAAACGATGCCCTTTCCGGGGTGAAGACCTCCGAGGTACAAGGTAGGCCGCAAAATCGCGGTTTTAAAGAACTCGAGGCAGGTGCCTCCATGTGGCTGAAGCACTGGGTCGGAAGGGAGCTCTCCTTTGGACCACCACATTGGGAAACGCGTACCCTTCCGGACCCTTAAGGACGTTGCGGAATCGACCGGGTCGACCGCGGTGCCTCCACAAGGTTAGTGTTCGTGGATGGAAGACCCGGAACACCGGTGACACCGTGGGACCAGGGCGGATGGGAGTCCCACCCTGGCGCCGGGGCTCCGTTGAACGGCTGGAGCAAGACCCGTGGTCGCTAAGGGGACCTCGCGAGGAGCTACTACTTCGAAAACGAACCGAGGTCCCTCTACTGGACTTCCGGGAGACTCCGTGACTCCGTGAGGCCCAGAAGGAAGCGGATGTGGTAAAGGAGGGGTCACGAGCTCCTCGGCGAGGTGTTGTCGCAATCAGACTCCTTAGTCTGCGTCGAGTTTCGGTTCGCAGTCATCCGCTGAGTAGAATTTCGAAAACCGTTGGGAAAGACTTATTTCAGTCTCGTGAGTAGTGACGGGTTGAGTTTGCGGTACGTCAGTAAAGTGCTGTGCATGTGTGCGCTGGAGGCCTGCGGTGACGGTGGTGGAGTCCACCTTGACACCGCCCACACGCAGAGACGACCAGGACCGGGCGCCTCAGGGAGGCTGCGCGACCGAAGTACTCCGGGGTCGGTGAGTTGCGTATTGCGGGGTCCGTTCAGGCCGTTTGGGGTGTAGTGGTAATTCTTAATGTATCTAGATAATAAGTGATATATGAGAAGGGAGAGATGAAGAGAGAGGGAACCAAGAGGCTCAGAGGTGTTCCGCTGAGGAGATAGAAGTCGGCTGCCGTTGTCCAAGGCCGTTGCCAGAAATTGGAGGAACTCTATTCCGATCGTAGACGCACGATCTGGCCACACATTATAACGTTCCTCCTGCAAAGCGTGACGAAGTAATATTAATTGCAATAATATCGTCGGATTGCTAAAAAGGCAATCCCTTCTACTGCCGCACGACGACGATCCCTTATACAACTCCAGAAAGATAAGCCTCTCTCTCTCTAACACTGTTATTTAGTTGATGCGTCTCGTTCTCGTCATATTTGTCTTTGTAATTCGCCTTTCTGTTTATTTATCTTTTTATTCCTGCGTAGCGTTTTATTTTTAAATTAGTTGTTCTTGTATCGTTATCTTTTCCGTTAGCGCTATTATTTAGTTATTTATTCTTTTAAGTTCGTTTTTGTAATGGTCTCGGTCTCCTTTTTATTCCATTTATAATTTGCTCAATTTTTTACTTAATTTATTTATTTATTTAATTGTCTATTCTTGTTTGATTAATATAGAGACCTTTTAGACTTCCCCGTTTATTCTTATTGGTTTATCTCCTAGTTTTTTAGAAGTCCCTCTCTCAGGGACATCTCCAACCGTTACAGGGGCCTTCCAGTTACAATACTCGCGCCGCCTCGTGGAGAGTTTGAGGGTTCCTGAGCTAGAGAGGTACGCGAGCCTGCTTCGATCTCGCCTTTGTAATTTGGGTCGCGATTTCGATGGTTATTGTATTTCATTACAATTTACATTTAGTTAATACGACGAAGGTCTTTTCTCGTACTTTCCTTGGTCTTTCCTAGAGTCCTTAGTGGCCAGAAGACACCCTCTTTCCGACGACCAGGGAGTCCGCTG